ACAACTTCTATTCAACGAAAGGAGACTGCGACCACGCAAAAGGCCACACCATCTTGGTCTTTATACCTTCCATTTTTAATGCTCGAAAAAACTGCCTTTTATGCGAAAAGGTAGTCGCTCGTCACATTTTATATTGTGATATCTGATTAATGAGATTTGGAGTATACTATGCTAATTAAGATTGGTTGGCATTAAGTCATTAAGTTAGAGTAGTCACTTACGAATCAAGGCATACAATTTTTTGCTATTCTAGTAATGATATCTGAGGAAAGCAAAATTTTTGAAGCAAAAAAATAACTCCCCCAACGATGATAATGTCCCAGTGAACTCAACTAATATTACATAGATAAATGGATTCGTTCATTAAACACTATCTGGCATAACTCAGGCTTCATACACTTTTAATGACAGGAATAAAATTGAAAGCTTGCTAAACATGTCAACAAAAGCGTTCTGTCTCGGGGTCATTTAGGGAGCCTTAAATGAGTACCCCATTCTGAACCTAACCCCATACTAAGATAAAAATGATAAAAGTTCGTCGATAAGAATTTATCTTTAATGGGAAATATGAATATTATAAATAGATTTTGACAGCTTCGTTTTATTTTGTGCCGTTTGCCCCATTTTGCCTTCGTCAACTAATGCCCTCATTATTTATCCAGGAAACCCATCCTGGAAACTTCTTTCGCAGGATCGATTAGGTAAATGGTTTAGCTTAGAACAAATAAGATATGAGCAAAAATACCTACCTTTTGGAAGGAGTTGTTGACCTGGAAGGGGAAGTCTGGCTAATTCCAGTGGCAGGGGTGGAGGTGGTCCTTTGGGAAGCTAAGATGCTTTGTGTCGAGCTTTCGACTGGGGAAATCTCGCCAAATTTGCTTCCGTCTGCATCACTTTGGTACACAGGCTCGACTAGTTGTAGTCCATCTATCGCTCTTAGCCCCGAAACGAGGCCAGGAGGCCTCGTCTCCCTGACGAAAGCCGGCTTGCTGGCCGGTCGGTCGAGGCTGAGGTCCAACGGCGAGGCGGAGAGGCCAGCAGGCGCTGAGGAGGGCATGAAAAGTCCCACCATTGGACTGCTTGTCGGCATCGTTGAGGTGGCAACCGCTGTACTGGTCGAAAAGTAGGGCGACGACGAGAAGGCCAGCTCGGATATCATGAAAGCCGTCGACGATCCAGACTCTCCCGTGTAGCACTCGGTCAGACCGGGCGCGGAGCTGGCCGGGATCGGCGCGAACCCGCACACGTAGGGCTCGAGACCCGGCGGCAGAGCAGAAGTGGCTGGCAGGAAGGGCGGCATGGCGACGATCGTACCGGCTGCCGGGGGCCCAGAGACAGAAGAGGCGGAAAGACAGGCGTGTTGGCTGGCCGACAAGCCGAGCTGCGCCAAGCCGTGCGGACCGGCGTGCGGATTCGAACCCGGCACCTGTAGCGAGGAGAGGGACATTTCGCCGAAGGGACAGGCGGAGAGGGCCAGTGGAGCCAACGCAAGATGTGGGTGATGCTGATGCTGATGCTGGTGCTGGTGCTGCGGGTGGTGCTGCGGGTGGTGGTGACCCGGGATCAGCGAGCCCAGTCCGTTTCCGGGATCCATGTTGAGAGAGGCCAAGGTGAGGCTGACCGGAGGACATCCGTTCAGCAGGCCGGCCGGACCCGAGGGCGACAGCAGCGACACGGACTGCTGC